ACAGAGATCCGCCTGGCTCTGCCTCCCGAGTGCTGGGATTAAAGGCATGCGCCATCACGGCCCGGTGGTGCTCTTAACGGCTGAGCCCTCTCTAGCCCGCGGTGGCTGATTGCTAAACCGCCAGTTCTTCCCGTTGATCTGTATGTCTCTGGGTAGGCTAACACGACACATACTTCATTTTTCTTTTCTTTTTTCCAGTGCTGGGAGCTGAACCCAGAGAGCTATTTGTATATGTGGGGACCACTGAGAGCTGTCCGCCGGGCCCCAGGCTGATAGTAACTGAATCTGAATTGGACCAGAGAAATGCACAGAGAGCTCTCTTATCTTTCCGCCCACGTCAGAGTTTCGGGACGCTTCCAAGTGCAGGATCTCAGTGCTGAAATACCTGTGAGAGGACACAGGGCTCGGAAGGCTTCATGGTAAAGCTTGAGACCCATATAGAGCATCGGAGATCCCTGGACCAGTCTATGGGTTGTTTGACTCCCAGTCAGCTGCTCTCATCTCGGTTTATTAACTCCTGGTGGAGTCCAGAGATTTGAGAAAACAAAAGAGGAGAGAAAAATTAGAACCGCCCCCACCCCCCCAAAAAAAAACATTGCACAGGGCCATCTCAGCAGCTTTGTTTATAAATTGCCTAAACTTGAAAGCATTCATAATGTTCCTCAACAAATGAATGAATGGGTACACACAGAGAATGGAGTATTATTCAGCGCTGAAAAGGAGTGGGCTGGGTATGACGTCACACACCTATAATCTCAGCACTCAGGTGGCAGAGGCACAGAGGTCTCTGAGTTCAAGACTAGCCTGGCCTACAGAGAATTTCATGTCAGCCATTGCTACACGATGAGACCCTGTCTAAAACTAACTAAATGACGAATGAATGAAGGAATGAGTCGCAAGGCACGAGAAGGTATGAAGGGACCTCACATGCACATTACTATCCAAGGATGGCAGTCTGCAAGGCTATGTACAGTGCATGTCCTCAGGAGCTCTATGGCATTCTGGAGGAGAAGTTGCTACGGCAGTGGTAAGATAAATGGTGTCTAGCACCAGAGAAAGGGGGTGTGTGAAGAGGTACAACTTGGAGGACTCTGAGGACAGCAAAACGGCCCCATTTGCTCCCATGATGGTGGAGACACAGCATGTGTTTTCTATACCCCACAGTGTACACCCACGGTAGCCTCTGCAGTAGACTATGGAGTCCCAGGGATACCGGATCTGCAACATTTGCCTATTCCTACAAGTGAAGCAGTTGGTGGGGGACATTGTTGACATGGTTGGTGCTGGTCATTCGTGGTGGCCAGGCATCCATGCAAATCTCCCCTACCTTCAGACCAGTGCTGCTGCGAACCAAACACCACTCTCAAAAGCATGATCTTATTTTACTTTTTAAGCGAGGGGAGGTTGTAAAATGGACCGGTTCTACGGGCAGGTAGGCCAGCATGTGCCTGTGAGACCAGCACTTGGGAGGCAGAGTGAGGATGACCAGGAGTGTTTAAGACCAGCCTGGGCTCCATGAGGTCCTGTCTCAAAACAAAACCAAACAAATCAAAACAAAGCAGAATTCCGGAAGAATGAAAGGAAGACCTGGGGAGATGGCTCGGACTGTACAGAGCTTGCCCCACAAGTGTGATGAAGATGCCAGGCATGGGGGCTGCCGCTCTCATCCAGTTGGTAAGCATCAGGCCGTGAGAGACCCTGTCACAAAGAGGGGACTGCGTTCCTGAAGATACCTGAAGTTGTTCTCTGGCCTTCACACACACACACACACACACACACACACACACACACACACACACACACACACGCGTCATCCACACAACCTCACACTCCCTCACACACACCAGAAAATGGAGGGAAAAAGAAAGGACACAAGAGAGGGAGAGAGGGGTGGGGGGAGAAGATTCTGAATGGAGACTTCCTAATCAGGTTAAAGTCAGATTTCCCTTCCGTGGGGAAGAACTGGGATGCGCTGGCTCATCCGGGCGCTTCGCCTGGGTATTGCATTTTCAGAGTGAAAACACGAGTGCCGTGCTTTTAAAATCACACTGACTGATGGGTGCGTGCACGAGTATCTGTGTGAGCACGCAGGCGCGGAAGTCAGGGGGCAACTTTTGGGAGTCAGTTCGAGCCTCGGCAGCGGCGGGAGCCTTTGTCCTCTGTGACATTTTAACACAACATCGAACCTGGACCAGCAAGATGGCTCAGAGGGTAAAAGGGCCTGCCACACAGCGATCTGGGTGTCAATTGCAAGAACCCACAGTGGAGAGAGAACTCACCCCCTCAAATTGTCCTTTCACTTTCACGGGCATGGCACAGTGTGCCTACACACCCTCACAGCACACAATAATAAATCAAAACATTTTGAACTAAGTCCTATAAAACCAAAGGCAAACATATTATAATTTAACCCTCAGTTTTGGCAGTTGTTCCCAAAAGCTCCTTAAAGTAGTGTTTCCCCAAAACTTGCCTAAAGTGAAACCTCAGCTATCAGCATCATCTGAGAGGGGCTTATTTAGGAAAAATGCTGATGTCAGAGTTCTGCTGCCAGGCTCGGTGGTACATGCCTGTTATACCAGCATTTGAAAGATGAGGCAGGAGGATTGCCTTGAGTTTGAAGTTAGCCTGGCCCAACTCCACACAGTGAATTCTAGGCCAGTCTGGGCTACAGAGTGAGACTCTGTCTCAAACAATGAAGTTGGAGGAAGCACAAGGCAAGACACTCAACAGAGTTCTTGCTTGGCATGTGTGAAGCCCTGGATATAATCCCACCACTTGGGAAGTAGGCGGAGAAGGATCAGAAATTCAAGGTCATCCTTGCTACACAGGCCAGCCTGGACTACATGAGACCTTGCCTTAAAAAAAAAAAAAAAAAAGCAGTGAGGTGGTGGTGGTGGTTGACACCTTTAATCCCAGCACTCCAGAGGCAGAGGCAGGTGGGTCTTTGAGTTCGAGGCCAGCCTGGTCTACAGAGCGAGTTCCAGGACAGCCAGGGCTACACAGAGAAATTTTGTCTCAAAAACAAAACACAACAACAACAAACGAGTTCTGGATTGTAGGTTCACGTACTTTCTCTCCAAGTCTTTGCCAACTTACCACCTTCCTGATTTAAAATTAAATATAAGGGGCCAGCAAGATGGTAAAGGCATTTGCTGCCAAGCCTGACGTTCTGAGTTTGGTCCTTAGAAAGCACATGACGGAAGAGAGAACTTTTGAGAATTGTCCTCTGACTTCCTTCTGTGGACCATGGTGTGCACACATGTACACACACACACACACACACACACACACACACACACACACTAAAATATAACAGAAATCCAAAATTGGACATCAAACCAGGTGTGGTCTCATGCATGTAGTCCCAGCACTTAGGAGGCTGAGGCAGGAGGATCATGAGTTCCAGGGCATCCTGGGCTACATAAATGAACAAATCTGAGTATCACTTTCTCCTGGATACCTTCCAATCTCCCCATCCCTTCTCCATAACACTTAACAGTGCTCCTATTTATTCATCTGATTCTCGTTGGCCACAAACCAACCATCATAATGGTGGCTGTGAATACTGTATCTGGGATAGTGTCTAGAAGGGAGGTGTTCTGTAAATATTTGAGACAGGCTACATCATCTCCGTGGCTGGGCGGCCATGTCCCCTTGTCTGAGATGTCTTTCTCAAGAGTATTGAAAAGCATTATAAAGCAAATGATTCTTTTATGCTTGGAGTGAGCGCGGGTACGTAGTACTGGAGAGGAAGAGCAGGGGGCTACCTCCTCTAATCTCCCAATTCTAGAGTCTGGGTCCCAGTGATCTGAGGATCAGTTTTCCTTAATACTCTCCAGATCCTCCCATTTACTACGAGGATCATGCATCTTGCAGCTGCATTGTCCTGGGAGGGCCACCCTGAGAAGGATTCCTTGTCCCTTGCGTGAGCCAAGTGAACTGAACCAGCCAGGTAGCCATGAACCTGCAGTGGCAGGGGACGTAGGTCCATTCCATACCACTGTGCCTACACACTAGTTATTGACACATAGGAAGTAGAGGCTTTCTGCTCCAGGGGCCTGAATGAGGGTGCCAATAAGGGATGCTATCTTAAGCTACTACTTACAGTCTTGGCTGGCTTTGAACAAACAATGCTTACTATGTCCTGGCTTCCGAGCCACCTGCCAAAGGCATGAGCACAGAGACCAATGTTCACCACGCCCTTCCCCGCATGTCTCCGAGCACATTTTCACACACAAGGACCCCGGGGTTCAGATCTAGAAGGAATCAGGTCACCAACACCGGGCACAGGGAGTGGTTTACCTGCTGACCCTGGTCTAGGTCTCTGCTAAAGACACACCTGAAGTTCCAGCTTATGCTGAGATGGTAGGAAACATCCTGTATAGGAGGCTGGCCCACCCCACCTCCCAATCCAGGGGATGCTGAGAACCGGTGGGAGAGACAAATAGGAAAAGGCTAGTTTGTTTGTACTCCGTGGCAGGATATACCTGCTGAGCGTTCCCACAAGGTCCCTAAGGAAATCGTTAAAGGAGTCTCAGTCCTCTCCCCCCCCCACCCCGGGGTGATGGATGGGGGAGGGGGGTGCTAAGAGGACCCGGATAGCACCTCCAGGTTGGGATGCCAAGGCTGGGGGGGGGCACCCATCAATACAAAGGTATGTAAGTGTAAGGTGGGTACAAAGGGCTACTGGGTGAGTTTAAGGAAGGAAGGGTGAGGGAGGAGAGGTAAGGTAGTAGGGAGGAGCTTGTGAAGATCCACAGCAGGAACAGGGATGGAGCTGGGCCCCCTGAGGCCTCCTGTCTTGACCATTTCTAATTTGGTGGTCAACCAGGGAAGTCAAGAGGTCCCTCAGGCTTGAGGAAGGAGGGTGGACTCTACCTCCCGTCAGCTATAAGAGACTTTCTTGGTCTTCCCAGGCTGGAGAGAAATTTCCAGGAGTGAGTGAAGAGACATGGGGTGTCCTAGGAGGGAGGAGATCCTAAAGACACACGAGTCAGACCGAGGAAGGGAAGGAGTTCGGCTTCATAGAGGCGAATGAGTTACTGAAGGGAAGTTAACTCCAAACTCGGTGGGTAGGCAGGCAGTTCAGGTTCTTCCAAAGCAGACTGGAGGGAGTTAGGACTCTGTAAAAAGAGGGGGTCATTCGAGGGGGAAAGTGCACAGAGATTCCCTCACTGGAATCTCTGAGACACTGATTCTCTTCCAGCTTCCTCGGGATCCAGCGGCGTCTGGAACCAGGTCCCCCCACTCCAGACAGAGTCGGGAAGGGGCTGGAAGAGTGAGCCAGGAGGAGCTAGCTGTACACACAAGGGCAGGGAGGCAGCAAACTGAGAACCCAGGCTCCAGGCAGGGCATCCTCTCAACAGACCACAGGGGTCCCAGGTGTGGAGAGAAGGGATTTGGGGGGAGTCGCGCGAGGCACTCTCAATTTGGGCAGCGAGGGCCCGGGAGGGACGAGGAAAACTGGGGGAGATTGTACTGGTGTGCTGGTAGAGGTTCCCCACTCGGGACGCGAGGGACTGCGAGGGCTCCCCAAATTGGGACGTGGGAAGCTAGGAGTGGACTGGAGACCACAGTCAGGGTAGTCTAAATTAGGTTCAGGAGAAACTGGGGGGCTCCAAGGGCGGCTTCTCGCTCGGACCGGGAGGAGAGATTCTTACCCGTTGGAAGGTGTGGGGACTGGGGCGGGGGGCCACTGGGCCATCTCCAACCCGACCCAGGAAGATTAGGGGCGTCCTCTAAATTCTGAATAGCGGGGACCTGGGAGGCAGGACTGGGGAGGGTTCCCGATCCGGAGCCGAGCTACCTTGAACGCACCGGGAAGCGCTTCATCCCGGGAGGGCGTTCCCGCGGCCGGGCCCCCGCGCCGCTGTGGGTGAGGGGTGCGGCCGCGCCCCAGGCCCGGGCCCGCACCGGGAATCAGGGGGAGCTCGCTCGCTCGCTCGCCCGCCCGCCCGCTCGCCCCCAGGACGCCCAGGAGCCCCGCGGGAGGGGGATCCCAGCGCCGCCGCCTCCGCGGGCGCCCGGGCGCGCGCCGGGCTTTATGCGCGCAGGGCGGCGGGGGGAGGAGCCGGCAGGTCGGCCCCCGGCGGGCCCTCCCCTTGGCCGTCCCCGCCCGCCCGCCCGAGCGGGGTCGGGGGAGGGGGCAGCATGGCCTGTCCGTCCGGCCCCCTTCGCCGCGCTCCTCATCTGCCCCGCGCCGAGCGCCGCCGCCGCCGCCGCCGCCGCCGCTCCGCTGCCCGCGCCGCCCGCGGCTCCCGATGGAGACTGACGCGCCCCAGCCCGGCCTCGCCTCCCCGGACTCGCCGCACGACCCCTGGTACGGTCCGGCCCGGCCCGGCCCGGCCTGCCCAGCCCGCGTCCGCCCCGGCCCCGCCAACATGGCCGATCCGGGTCGGGCCGGGGCCTCCCCGGGGCCCGAGCCCGCGCCCCCTGCTCCCTGGCGCCCGGCGCTCACGCGGGCCCTTTGTGTCTCTGCTCCTCCCCGCAGCAAGATGTTCATCGGAGGACTCAGTTGGCAGACCACGCAGGGTGAGCCAGCCCGGGGAGCACCCGCCGGCCCCGCACCGCCACCCTGCACCCCTTGCGGCGCCCCAGCCCCGGACGCCCCTGCCCGGCCCTGCGCCCTGCTGACCCCGGGCGCCCTCGTGCCCTCTTCCGCGCCCCGCCCCGGGGACCCCGAGAGCGCAGCACGCTTGGCGAGCGCGCACGGCCCGGCGCGGGTTGGGGAGCAGTTGAAGGGGGGGGTGTTCAGGGGGCATCGGGGGGGGGGCGGGCTGGGCCCCCGGGACCCGCCAGCGGCAGCTCCAACTCCGCTCGCACCTGCGGCTCAAACTTTTGTGAGGCGGCTCCCGGAGCGGCGGGAACCCAACCGGAGCGGTCCCCCACTCCAGCCCGGCCCGGCCCTTGCCTCCCCGAGGCCCCGGTGGGCGCCAGGAAGGCTCCACGGGAACCCCCGGCGAGTGCAGGGGTGGCGGGGGGGGGCCGGCAGTGGAGAGCGCGCGCGGGCAGCTTGGCGCGGGGGCGGCAGGGCCGCGCTGGGGTCACCGGGGGCAAAGGACGGGGGAGGAGGGGGAAGGGCTCCGGGCCTGGGCTGGTCCGAAGGCGGGTGTGTGGTTACAGAAGGGCTGCGCGAATACTTCGGCCAGTTCGGGGAGGTGAAGGAGTGTCTGGTGATGCGGGACCCCCTGACCAAAAGATCCAGGTGAGTCGCTGAAACCTCCCCTGCCGCCGGGCTCGCCCCTACCACCGCGGCCACTCACTGCCCTTGTAACCATCTGCCTGCTTCTCCCTCACTACGCGGCGCAGGGGTTTCGGCTTCGTCACTTTCATGGACCAGGCGGGGGTGGATAAAGTGCTGGCGCAATCGCGGCACGAACTGGACTCCAAAACCGTGAGTGACCCTCGGGGTTTCGGGGGGGGGGGGGTCCTTTGGGAGTGGGAGGCTGCCGGAGGGGAGAGAATCAGGACGCTCTCCAGGGGACAGTTGGATGGGGTTCTGGAGGAGAGGGGGAGAGTTTTCTGAGACTTGAGAGCTGTCATGCATTGAAACTTTCTCAGTAGAGTTGGGGGCAGAGGGAGGAAGAAAAAAAAAAAAAAATCCCAGGCCAGGCCTGGGAGAAGATGCCACACACACCCACTCAGGTATTGACGAGGGCAGCAGCAACAACTACTACCCTCTCTCTCTGTGAGTACTGATCTTGATACTTCAGGGTTTGGGGTCGAGCTAGGTCCCTCTCCTACCCCAGATTGAGTGAGTCAGGGCTGCAGTGACCCACGGTGGCTTCTCTGAAATCTAACTACTGTTTGACTCTGTGACACCCCCTTTTGCATTCCAGACCAATGGCAAAGCATCCCAGAGCCCCCCTCCCCTTCTCCTGCCCTCCTTCCCGGACTTTGGTCAATGAGCTCCTTGCTTTGTGTAGAAGACATGCACGCACCTTCTTTGCCCTTACCGGGGATTTATGAACCTGGAGCTAGCTTGCATGGGGGGGGGGGGAGGTCCTTCTGAAGACTAGATCTTAGGAGAAGCCAGATCTTAGGAGAAGCTGCTTGCTTGGCATTCAAACTCCTGGAACATTTTGCTTGTTTCCCCACTGTTCCCCAGTGTCTAGAACCCTGCAGGGGGCGCTGGCGGAGGCCAGCTCAGGGGGTTCCACAAGGAAAAGGAGAAAAATCATAGGAAGGTTTACTTGGTGATGGGGGTGACTGTCTGCCGGGAGGGGGGGGCTGGGACAGTGTGACCTCTCTCCACACTCCCCCATTCTTCCCCAACCCTGGGCCTCCCTGCTTTGGGCCAGTCACTGGCTCCTGTTTACCTGCAACAATGGCTGGTTGTGCCCAAGAATTTGTTAAATTACCGTCTGTCCCCAGCTCCTCTTATCTTTGCCCAGTGGCTCCCACTCCTGTTCACAGTAATGAGCGAATGAGGCCAGGCCTCGACTTTGCCTTCTCTGAAAGGATCCTCTTGGCTCAGCCTGAGTGACCCAGGCTGGGAAAGCAGAGACAGTGGCCTATTGTTTTTTTTTTTTGGTGATTATCTGCCATCAAGCAGCTTGTTTCTCCTACCATCCCCTGTCCTCAGAATGTCCTGATGGCTTCTGCTGCTTTTAGGAAGCTTGAGGCTGAAGCTGGTGCTGGGGGACTGGAGGAGTGCAAGATTGATAAGGGAAGGGGGGGTGGTGGATGGCGAGATGGGTATCCTTAGGAGATGGAGACTGCCAACCGCAAGGGCTTTGTCTGTGTTTAGCATCTCTTGGGCTGGGGAAGGGGGCGGGCAGGAGTCTATTTTGGATGCCAACTTTCACCTTTTATTTACTTGTTGGGTTTTATTTATGTTGCCAGCTGTGAGTCAGAGTGGAGGTGGTGGTGGTGGTGGTGGTGTGGTGTGGTGTGTATGTGTGTTGAGGATTTGGTGCATGTGGGTCTGGGGGGAGTATGGCTTGGGTGTTGTCTGTCCGTCGGGGTCTGTGCATTGAGGTATGTAGGTAGGTGGCTGAGGAGCCTGCATCTGGGAGAAATGAAAGGATGTGAGTGTCCATAGAGGTATGGAATCAACACTTCAGGCGGGCAGTGCGTGGTTTTGATTGTCCCGAGAGATCACAGAACCCTCGCTGGAGGAGGGACGTTGTCCTAGGGTAGGTTTTTGGAGTTCCGTCTCTCGGCAGATTCCAGGAGGAGAGCTGGCGAAATTCTACTTCCTGGTTCATGCCATGCAGGCAGAGGGAGGCTGGGGCCAGTTGTCTAGAACGAGGCTGAGTTTTGAATGGAAGGAACTTTGGGAAAAGATAGATCTTGCCCGTGATTGGCTGGTAACTTCTAAGTGATGTCCGTCCGTGTGAGCGGCAAGAAATTGGCATGACCAAGCCTCGTAGGCCCTGTCTCGGTCACAGAGTGTCGTGTTCTGTTTCTTACCGTCTGTTCGGGGCGGCTTGAGCGCCCAGGAGTCGTACCCAGGTGCATCCTGATTTGGTTCCCTCTGGCTGTTCATAGTCAAGGGCAAAGGTAGCCTTCTGGTAATAACACCTTTGTTTGTGCAGCGAAGGGATGTTCACAAAGGGCGGCTTTCACCCTTTATCTCATGTGGTCCCCCCCACCCCGCCGCAGCTGCCCTCAGCAGAAGTGGGTGTGATTTGTCCCCACTTTGCAGATGAGGGAACTGAGGCAGGTGAAGCTTCCGAGATCACAGGCTTGGCCTCTAGCCCAGAGTTTCTAAGTCCAAGCCCCAATGCCCTTTCACACCACCAAAGACTGCGGCTTGCCTCACCTGGAGCCTGGCTGGCTGCACTATCAGGAGCTGTTTTGTGTGCAGCAGCCCCTAGGAGGGCTTGTCAGGGGTCAGAGGTCGTGAGGAGAGAGAACTGAGTCTGTTCCTGGGAGGGTCTGGACTCTCCTCCTGGCCCTCTCCAGGCAGGGAGTCTCCGTTGGCAAAGTTAGAATTCCGCGCCTCACCGAGGCAGTCGGTCACGACACTGACACCCGTGTGTGGCGTCTGTTCGGCGAGGCCTTCGGTGTCTCATACTTGGTGAAATAAAGACTTGGCTTGAATTTTTACTGTGAGCTAGACACTGCGTCACATGCTTGGTTGGTGTGCACTATCTGAAGTCACCAACCTGCCGGCGACCCTTTGGAATAGGTATTAGTTGTCCGTTTAGCAGGTGAACTTGACCTTGAAGCTCTTCGAAGTTTAAATAACTTGCCAGGGGTCTCACAGCTAGAAAGTGGCGTACGTGGGATTTGAACCCAGCGTGTTTTCCTGCCCAAAGCTACTGTGCTTATTCTTACTGTGCAGCCACCCCAGGCTGTACGTGATACCGAAGACCACTCCTTACCTGTCCCCTTATACTTCTCTTGCAGATTGATCCCAAGGTGGCCTTTCCTCGGAGAGCACAGCCTAAGGTAGGTGTGATGACTGTGTGTGCATGTGCTGGGGAAGCGCCTTTATCCTGGGCAGTTCCGGGTAATGGTTTCCCCAGCATTCTCTTCTCTGGCAGATGTGTCGGGAACCTCTGTCTGGAGTGTTTCTGGGGTGTGCTGGGGTGAGGAGAGGGGATACCTGTGTTGTACGGAGTGAAGACACTGTGCATCTTCCCACCTGTGTGCTGGGGTGGGCAGCAGATGGGCTGGCGTGTGTCGGAAAAGAGGAAGTCATTTTGTTGCCCTGTATTTGAAGCCAATACAGTTTGGACCCCGAGTGTGATTCTAGCCTCATAGATCACAGTCTCTGGACCCTGAGTCTTGGAGGGACAAGCTTGTCTTAGCTTGGATGAGAGAGTGTGCCTCTGACTTCAAGTCACTTTCCTGTCTCTGGTGTGAGGTGTGTTGTGCTTTTGGAGGGGAACCCTTCAGGTCTGTCATCTGTTGTATGTGGGTTTTTTTTTTGTTTTTTTTTTTTTGTGTTGTTGTTGTTTTTTTTTTTTTTTAAGACAGGGTTTCTCTGTGTAGCCCTGGCTGTCCTGGATCTTGCTCTGTAGACCCGCCTGCCTCTGCCTCCTGAGTGCTGGGATTAAAGGACCGCCACCACATGGCTACCTGTTGTGTTTTAACTTGAGCATCTGGGGCTCTCAAGGGTTTTCTTCCAGAGCAAAGGGTGGGCAAAAGGAAATCTGAGCAGTTGAGCAAAAGAGCACTCAAAACTTGTGATGCAAGGCAAGGACCTTAGATTCAATTCCAGACATCATGGCGACTGACCAGATCTTAGTTTTTTAAGCCATTGACTTACGGGGATGGGAAGAAAGGCCAAGTCTGGTACCAGGAGTCTGGACTTTGCTGAGATCGCCCCAGGACTGGCTGGACCTTCTCAAGGAGGTCTCATTTCCCCCCTTGGTGGCAAGTAAGGTGCTCTGAGATTCTGCACCATGGATTCCATCAAGGCTGCCAGCTCCTGCCGGGGCGGAGGGAAAGAAACACGTTTTTTAGGGGACAGAAAGGGGCATCTCTGGAAAGGGTCCAGCAGAGGGTCTGAAAGCAATTACCGGAGCAGGTATTCGAAGGAAGCCACACCAGGGAGCACATGGTCGGAATTGGGTTAATTCCATTAAGCAGTTTGGTGACAGAAGGTCCCTTAGTGTTAGGATGGGGCTGGGAATTGCCTGGGATTAGCCATGCGCTCCTGGGGTAATTAGGACCATGTGTTCTTCCTAAAACAGGGCTGGGGCCACGGGGCTGCCAGAGGTTGGGTTGGGAGGAAGGTTGATGAGGAAAATGTCGGCGTTAAGTTTGGTGACACCCTGTGGTGGCTTTGGTGTCTCCCAGGAGAACTGGTGGAGTCTTCGTGCTAGGCAGTGGGTCTGGGCTATGGGCATACCCCCTCCTTTCCTTGTATAGGTCCTTAGGGAAGGCATTCTTCATACACAGACCCCAGGGTGGGCGGAGGGAAAGAAACACATTTTTTAGGGGACAGAAAGGGGCATCTCTGGCATCTCATGCCAGCCAGAGTGTGGGGTGCACAGCTGCTTATGACAGGCCTAGAAGCAGGAGTCCAAGGGGGAACTTGGAAGGGGGCCTTAGAGAAGCTGGGGCCCTGGAGAAGCTGGGGCCCTGGAGAAGCTGCGGCCACCGCACCGTGAGCTTGTCAGCTGGCATCCTGGCAGGGGAAACGCCCCCCTCCCCCAGCCCCTGCTGGTGGTGGTAGGCCACAGGACTCAGATGCCCACTTTCTCATTCCCTCCCCCTAACAGATGGTCACTCGAACGAAGAAGATCTTTGTAGGGGGGCTGTCGGTGAACACCACAGTAGAGGATGTGAAGCAATATTTTGAGCAGTTTGGAAAGGTAGGTCTTCACTGGGGGTGCTTTGCTGGGGCCGGGGAAGCACCAGAGAGAGAATAGATCAGGCCAGGTTGGGGGTGGCAGTCAGATCATCCCAGTTCCAGCGACAGGGCAGAGGAGGGCCTGGCCCTCCCTCAGGTGAGGTCAGACCAAGTCAGTTTGGGTTCCCCACCCATCTATGGGCCTCAGACTCTGGACCTCTCCAGGGAGAGGAAGCCGCATAGTCTCTGTCCTCACCCTTCCTCAGTATTTTTCTCCTGCTTCTCTTCACTCTCCCAAGGGAGGAGGTGCTCCTGTAGCCAGTTCAATCCATCCCCCCCCCCTTGCCTCCTGGGAGTTTGCACCTGTCCAGGCCACAGGCAGCTGCACCTTCCTGGGGAGGATGATAAGACGCCAATAAATAAGAACCCTTATTGCATTGGGTACCCTGCTTACCCAGGTGGGGAGCTGGGGATGGTGCTGATCCCTTAGGTATTGGGACTGAAGAAAAACATCCCAAAGTCTGCTCTGGCCCGGATAGATGACTAGCCCTCAGCTTTTGGGTGTGTTGAGATTTCATTTCTGGGCCTTGGAAGAGGTAGGCCTTGAGGAGGAGGTGTGGTACCACTAAGACAATAAAGGTATCCCTAGAAAAATCGAGCAGTGTAAACTTGAAGGTTCCATGGGGAAGTGTCAAAGGGGTCTGTCTGTCTGTCTGAAGAGCAGGGGGTGAAGGAGGGGCCGCCTGCTGGAGTGTTTCAGGTGAGATAGGCCAGGGGTTGGGTCCCTTGCTCTGTCCATCACGACATGTGAATTTCCCCAGAAGGCCAAGCTGGACCAGGCTTGGGAGATAAGACAGTGAGCTGTGGCTGGGTGGGGGGTCTGCAGGCCAGAGGATGCTGACGTGTTGGGGCCAGAGGCCTTGGCTCAGGCGCCTCCTTGGGGACCCTGGGTCCAAGATGCAGGGCAGGCAGAGCCTGGGCCCCAGAGGGAAAGGGCGCTCCTGGGAAGCTGCAGGCCCCGGCTCGGCTCCGGCGGGGTGTCTTTGTGTCTGAGCACCGAGCATTAGAGCCCGCACTAATCTGATCCAGCAGCTGTGATTGGAGGCCGCCTGCCCCCGGGGCCGGCGTTGCCATGGCAACCGGGCCCCAGGAGAAGCCGTCAGCGGCCGCGTCTTTTGTTCGGGCCTAAATCGGCGTTGGCATGTGAAACCGGCCCGGGGAGGCCAGGGGGAGCTGGAGAATAGGCTGCCAGGGAGCGAGGGGGACAGCCGGGAATGCCAAGGGCCCCGCGGCTGGGGGGCCACCCCCCCCCACCGCCTGGATCGAGGGGCCGCCACCAAGGGGGGAACAATGGTCAGCCGCCATGGCTGCCACTCAGGCTTAGCCGCCGCCGAACTTGGCGGCTCCCACTGGTCAGCAGGCCTCGGTCGCCTCCCCTCCCCCCTCCAGAGCCCCCCTGCCCCCAGGTTCCCATGGAGACCAAAGCCTATTAAGGACACTGGGCTGGTAGCCTCCCTCCCCTCAGCCGGCCCCGGGACGGGGGGGGGGGGGGGGGGGGCACACCACCGGTGTGGGGGTACCCTAGACCCCCAGCCACTTTCCTCAGGGGGCCCTACCCCGGCTTCCACCCCACCGCCTCCATGGGGGTCCGTCCAGCCAACCGAGCCCAGCTTGGAGGACCCAAGGATGTTGAGTTTGGAAGGTTGGGTGGAAGAGGGGCCGGAAGGACTGGATTTGACCTGAATCAGTTTGTGGGTCAGGCAAGGAACTCAAAGCTGCAGGATTAAGGAGGAAGGGTGTGGCTGTTTTTTTTTTCTTCTTCTTCTTCTTTCTGTTCATTCACTCATCCATTCAAAAAATAATTAATTGAGCTCAAGTCAAGATGCCCGGTAGAATAGTGATGTCGATTATAACTGATGCAGCTGCCCTGGTGGGACCTGGGAGTCCTTCTCTCCTGTTGGGACTGTGGGCAGGTCCCTCCATAATAAAGATAATAACAGCTGCTGTTTATCCAGTGCATCCTGAACCCCAGCTCCTGGAAGCTGAGTATTCTGTGTACTCCTTACACTTAACTTCTCTAAGAAACAGTCTCTGTGAACACCCATTTTACAGACGGAGGGATCAAAGTCGTAGAAACCCAAAGCCATTTACCCTAAGGACACCCAGCCAGCAAACACAGTATCCAAGACGCCAACTCACGCCTGCCCTCCTCAAAGCTTCCCCTTTGATCGGACCCTCCTGGGTGTCCATTTTCCAGTGCTTAAGCTAGGGATGAGAAGGTCGGCTTAACTGCCGGCCGAGCTGGGGTTAGAGGTCTGAATGTGGTCATTGGCTCGGGAGTGAGGATGGCATTCTGCTGCAGGAAGTTGTCATTTTCTGCTGAGATTCTCCAGGAACCCCACGGTCTCCGATTTCAGTGGGGGGGGTCTTGGTTCCCTCTGGGAAAACCGGAGGCCTGGTCTAGCTCGACCCCTAAGGAGAGCTTCCGGGTTCTCTAAGGAGGCCCACCCTATTTCTGGGTCTGCACTTCCTGCTTTAATGAGGCTTGAGAGGCATCTTTTTAAGACCCAGGAAGGGCCTGGAGTAGGGTGGGGAGAAGCTATGCCTTCTCGTCTGAGGACTTTCCCCTGCCATTAGGAGTCAGGTCAGTGGTTGGATCAGACGCAGGCCCAGGAGAAGACGCAGGCCCAGGAGAAGGCGGGCAGGACCGGCAGAGGTCGGTGTGTCTGGAGAGGATGTTTGGAGGGACTAGCGAGGAGGAGCGGCGGCCGGGGTTCAGGAGAGTGTAGCTGATGTTGACCCTCCCCCTCCCCCTCTCTCACCTCCTCCCCTCCCCCCAGCCAGTGCCAGGCTAGCAGCTCAGGCAGTGAACTCTACTTGCTTTAATTACAGCCTCTAGCTAAAGGAAACCTCAATTAGAGAACAGATCTGTAGCAGAAGGGAGTCTGGCTGCTGGCCTTTTCCAAAAAGGGAAGAGGCTTTGGTTTTCCCACCTCATAATCTTGGTCCCCCATATTTCTTTCTCTAGCACGTACTTTGTGCCTTTTCCTCCCTGGCTGGGTGCAGGACTTGCTGTGTGACCTTGGGCAGGCAACTTCACCTCTCTGATCCCATTTGCTTTAGCTGTACCGTGGGGATGAGCCTGTGCAGGGAGCGTTGGGATGATAGGAGCCCAAGTGTCAGGCATACATTTGGAGTCTAATAAATGCAAGGCTGATCCGCTGAGAATCTGACCCGTGGACTCTGATGTGCTGTGATGTCTAGGGTGCTGTCCCCCTGGAGAGAGCAGGTTTAAGATAAAGCCTGGGGTAGTCAAGATGGGTGGGTGTAGGTTTGGGGAGCCCCTGGTGTCTGTGGGTCTAACACAGCGGGCTGTGTTTCAGGTGGATGATGCCATGCTGATGTTTGACAAAACTACCAACAGACACAGAGGTGAGTGCGGCCCCTCCCCCCTCCCGGGCTGGGCCCGGGGCCTGTGATCCATCCGCCAGGGGGCTGCAGGTCACAGCTGCCCTTTCATGGTGCCTCCTGACATCCTATCCCTGCCGATCCAAGTCCTCTCCAGGGCCTGGCCTCACAGAAGGCTTTTGTCCTCTTTCCTGCACTCGAAACTTGGCCAATTGCACACACACACACACACACACACACACACACACACACACACACACACACACGAGGAGCTGAGGACACCCCCAACGGTACCCTGGACCCCTCCTTGGTCAGTGTCTGCCCCCCTACCCCAGCTACCTTGTCCCTGGTCACCAGAACTGAGGCCAGGCTGCCCCAGGGTCAGGTAGACTCTACAGCTCCAGGCAGTCTGCACCCCCCCACACACAAGCTAAGCCCAGGCGCCGCCCCCCCTCCCCCCCCTCAGTCCTCCTGGCCCAGAACCTGGTCACATCTGGGCCTCTCTGCTGTGTCCTGCCTGGTGATTTTCTCCCAAGGGTTTTGCCTTCTGAGAAATCCCAGCCCAGCCCTTGGGGGGACTCCCTGAGGAGGTGGCAGGGGCTGTTTCTCCAGTGGCTTCAGGGCTTTTAGCTTCTTTGGGCAGAGTGGTGTGGGCTGTGAGTGTGTAATGGGTGTGGTGAGGGGGTCTTAAAGTGTGCCCGGTATGTCGGGGCAAGTACACCTGTAGAGTGCCGTGCCCCCCAAGTGTCTGTGAGATAGGGTTTGCGTGTATACCTACATGTTCTCTGTAGGAAGGTTGGTTTGGGCATCTTAGGCGTGAGGTCATCCCCACATTGCTATGGAGTTGTGTACTTTTGGGTTCAAGCAACTTCAATTTAAAAAGACCCTCCCTCCCTAAAAAGTGATATTTAGCCGGGCGGTGGTGGCGCACGCCTTTAATCCCAGCACTCGGGAGGCAGAGCCAGGCGGATCTCTGTGAGTTCGAGGCCAGCCTGGGCTACCAAGTGAGTTCCAGGAAAGGCGCAAAGCTACACAGAGAAACCCTGTCTCGAAAAACCAAGAAAAAAAAAAAGTGATATCTAAAGGGCTGAGAATGTAGCCCAGTGGGCTGATAGATACAAGACTCTGGTTCTATCTTCAGCACTGAAAAAAAGAAAGAAAGAAAGAAAAATAAATAAGAGAACAAGCCCCTAAGCCCCGTTACATCTGTACTGAATACAGATGTTTCCCTTGCCATTAATCTTTGAGCCGTAGAGTGTAATGGGATTTGTGAACCACTTACACTGTGCTGGGCAATAGAAGGACCCGAGATAGGACTGGAGTTCACTGAAGGGCATGCATGGATTCTATGCAAATGTGCCATTCTGTATAAAGGACTTGAGAGCACCGCCTAGATTTGGGGCTCAGGGCAGGCACCTAGAACCCTTAACCCTCTGATTCCAAAGGATGACTGTATTTTCATGGTGGCTCTGCCACTTTAAAAAAAAAAAAAAGATTTATTTTGTGTGTGTGTGTGTGTGTGTGTGTGTGTGTGTGTGTGTGTGTGTGTGTGTGGTGTGTAGGGGGTGTCTTTGGAGGCCAGCTGGAGTTACAGGCAGTTCTGAGCAGCCCAATGGGAGTGTTGTGGAACTGAACTCACGTCCTCTGGAAGAGCAGCGAGTGCTTTTAGCAACTGAGCGTCCCTCCAGCCCCAGGGCTACCACTTTCTAACTTGGCTGTGTGACCTTGGACAAGTGAGCTCACCTCTCTGAGCCTTGGCTTGTTCATCTGTAATTTGGGACTTGAAACCTTGACTCAGCCAGTAGTTGAGATGCTCTTAGGCTGTGGGCAGAGCCTTTCATTAACTCTCAGACACTCGCCCGCAAGAGATGAGCTGTGGTATATGTGCGGCATGGGGCTGGGTGTTGACCGTGAGCCCTGGTTCTGACCCTGCCCCTTGTCTAACCTCTAGGGTTTGGGTTTGTCACGTTCGAGAGTGAGGACATCGTAGAGAAAGTGTGTGAGATCCACTTCCACGAAATCAACAACAAAATGGTGAGCTGGGGCTAGATGGAGGTCGGGGATCGGAGGCTGGGACTCCAGGATGAGGCAGTCAGGGAAGTGCTGGGGGTCTGAAAATGGGCAGGGGTGGGGTTCTCCCCGAAATCAACAGAGCCTGTTCTCCTACACCCTTGAGGACGCAATGTCACAGGGTGGTCCTTCTCAGAGCCCAAGTTTTTTGTTTTTGGTTTTTTGAGACAGGGTTTCTCCGTGTAACTTTAGAGCCTTTTCCTGGCCTCGAACTCACAGAGATCCGCCCGGCTCTGCCTCCGGAGTGCTGGGATTAAAGGCGTGCGCCACCACCGCCTGGCCGAGCCCAAGTTTTCATAAGACAGGAATCCCAGCTTCATGGGATGGCACACATCTGTAATCGCAACTTTCTGGAGAAGGGCAAAAAGATGGTCACAAGTTCAAGGCCAGCCTGGTCTACATAGCAAGTTGCAAGCTAGCCAGAGCTACACAATAAGACCCTGCCTCAAAATCAATCAATCAATCAATCAATGTATTTAATTGAAACTGAAAGTAAACGGAATCACAGTACATGTTCACCGTATGTTTGGTGTGAACATTCAGTGAGCGAACTAGTGCATGTAAAGCCCTTTAGACGTAGTGAGCACTCCATAAACGATCATTTAAATAGTGATAACGAGACCAGCTATAGCCCAGGAAGCTCTGACCATCCAGTTTCATCGCAGGTGGAGTGCAAGAAAGCTCAGCCAAAGGAGGTGATGTCCCCGACCGGCTCGGCCCGGGGCAGGTCTCGAGTCATGCCCTACGGAATGGACGCCTTCATGCTGGGCATCGGCATGCTGGGTAGGTGCTTGGCCCTATACCTGTGGCTTCTTCCTGCCTAGAACCGTTCCTGGGGCTCCCGGGGATTGTGTGGGTGGGGCTTCTCCTCTGTGGTCTGGCCTCCTGCGTGAAGGCAAAGCTGTGCTTCAGATCTGGTGTGCCGGCCCAAGGTGGGCAGTTTGGTGTGGAGCACTGCCCTCTTGTGGTGGCTCCGGTGTAGTCCAGCCGCTTCTTATTATTTGGTCCTCGGGCCGTTCACCCCTACTCTAACCCATCGGGATATCCGTATCCATCCCGCATTGAGCGCCTATCCGTGCCATGCCCTCTTCTGGGAACTCCAGCAGTGACTTCCCTGAGATTTGTGGTCTGTCAGGGAAAACACGACAGACAAATTTAGGGTGAAGTGTAGGATACCAGGAGAGTGTGGTCATAGGGAATTGGACCAAGGCTCTGGAGAACCAGGAACTATGTACGAGTTATGCTGAGTCTGCAGGGTGAGTGGGTGCCCGCTGTGGGAGGTCAGGAAGAGGAAGGGAATGGTGAACCGGACACAGGGAGCAGCATCCCAGAGGCCCAAAGGTGTGGAGAATTCTGCCTCTTCCTACTCAGCTGATTTTTATAGTGCTTTTTGAGAGGCAGGAACAGCTCTCATAGGGCTGTGATTCAAGTGAGAAATAGGAGTCTCTCCATAGAGTGACTGGAGGCCTTGGGAGTCTCAAGAAGACACATTAAAGAGCCGTGGGCGTCAGGGAGGCTCCCCGGAGCAGGTGATGGAAGTGGCCGTGAGCCCTGACAATCAGACAGGACTCAGCTGCACCTTCAAGAGCACCCAAGAAGCCGGGCGGTGGCGGCTCACACCTTTAATCCCAGCACTCGGGAGGCAGAGGCAGGCGGATCTCTGAGTTCAAGGCCAGCCTGGTCTACAAAGCAGGTTCTAGGACAGCCAGGGCCACACAGAGAAAAACTCTGTCTCGAAAAACCAAAAAAAGAAAAGAAAAGAAAAGCACCCAAGCAACTGGGGAGATGGTTCGGTGGTTAGAGCACTGGCTGCTCTTCCGGAGGACCCTGGTTCAATCCCAGCACCCACATGGCAGCTCACACCTATCTGTAACTCCAGTTCTAGAGGATCCAACGCCCTCTTCTGGCCTCCACAGCATTGCGCACATGTGGTGCAGGACACATACGCAAGCAAAACACTAATACACGTAAGAGAAAAACAACATTTGCGCGTATATATATATATATATATATATATATATATATATATATATATATATATATATATATATATATTGGTTTTTGCGAGACAAGGTTTCTCTGTTGTTTTGGTTCCTGTCCTGGATCTCGCTCTGTAGACCAGACTGGCCTCGAACTCACAGAGATCCCCTGCCTCTGCCTCCCAAGTGCTGGGATTAAAGTCGTGTGCCACCACGAGAAGGGCCCAGCCTACAACCTTGGGCTACTGGAGGCACGACCCCTCCCCCATTTTGTGTGTGTGTATGTGTGTGTGTGAGAGAGAGCGAGAGGGAGAGAGAGAGAAAGAGAGTTTAGTATCTCCTAAAGAGGCAGAGGCAAGTGGATCTCTGAGTTAGTGGCCAGCCTGGTCTGCTTAAGGGCTAAAGAGATGGCTGTGTGATTAAGAGTGTGCATTGCTCTTACAGAGGACTTGAGTTTGGTTTCCAGTACGCATGTCTAGCAGCTCCTGAGTCTGGCTCCAGGAGACCTGAACCCTCTTATAGCCTCTGTGGAGACTTGAGGGCTCCCACATAGTCACATAGTATACACATAATTAAAAACTAAAAATAAGTCTTTAAGGGACTGGGCTTGGTGGTGCATGCCTTTAATCCCAGCACTTGGGAGACAGAAGTAGGCAGATCTCTGAGCTTCAGGCTAGCCTGATCTACATAGAAAGTTTAAGGTCAGCCTGGTCTATATAGTGAGTTCCAGGACAGCCAGAGTTATATAATGAGACCCTGTCTCAAAAATAAAAAACAACAAACAAAAATAATAAATAATAATAATAGTAATAAAATAAATCTTGTAAAGAAGTACAACTCTGGCAGTTCTGGAACTTGCTCTGTAGACCAGGCTAGCCTTAAACTCACTATAGATCAGGCTGACTTTAAACTCACAGAGATCCGCCTGCCTCTGCTTCTGAGGGCTTTAGAGTACTTCTTATTTTTTTTATCTTTTTATTTTTATTTTGGTTTTTCGAGACAGGATTTCTCCGTGTAGTTTTGGTGCGAGACACGGTTTCTCGGTGTAGTTTTGGTGCCTGTCCTAGATCTCTCTCTGTAGACTAGGCTGGCCTCGCACTCACAGAGATCCTCCTGCCTCTGCCTCCCGAGTGCTGGGATTAAAGGCGTGCGCCACCACCGCCCGGCTTAGAGTACTTTTTAATTTTTAAAGTGTGTGTGTGTGTGTGTCTCGGGGGGGGGGGGGGCATACACGCGTGTGTGCACATCCTGTGGAGGTTGGAGGACAGTTTCATTCAATTCTCTCCTTCCTTCATGTGGGTTCTGGAGACTTAACACTCGGATCATCAGACTTGCTTAATATGTGCTTTGCCCTCTGAGCCATCTTGCAGGCCCCCCATCTTTTTATTTTATTTATTGTGATTGTGTGTAGATGAGAGCAGGAGAGCAGGTGTACACAGGCAACAGGGTACATGTAGGGGTCAGAGGACAACTTTCAGGAGTCGGTTCCTCCTTTCCACAGTGGACTCCGCTGGGCACGAACCCAGATCGTCAGGGGTAGGGGTGAATGCTCTTACCCGCTGAACTGTCCCTCCCACCTCACCTCACGGCGTAGTCGTCAGTGTTGGGATTTTATATTGATGAAATACTGTCATCTAATGGACTATTTTCTCCTGTTGTTAGTTGAGCAGATTATTTTGCTGTTGCCAGATTATTTGTTTGTTTGAGGCAGGGTCTCACTTTGTAGCCCTGGCTGTCCTGGACCAGGCTGGATTCACAGAAATCCACCTGCCTCAGCCTCTCAAGGGCTGGAACTAAAAGTATGTGTCACCATGCCCGGCTCTACTTTATGTATGTATGTATGTATGTATGTATGTATGTATTATGTATTTATTTATTTATTTATATGTTTATGTATGCATTTATTTATTTATTTATTTATGTATGTATGTATTTATTTGAGACAGGATTTCTCTGTGTATCCCTGACTATCCTGGCTGGCCTTGAACTCAGAGATCTGCCTGCTTCTGCCTCTCGAGTGCTGGGATTAAAACAGATGTGCCACCACTGCTAGGCTTTATTTTATTTTATTTAATTATTATTATTATTATTATTTTTTTGAGATGGACCCTGTAGCCCAGGAGAGTCTAGAACTCAGAGTGCAGCCAAGGATGACCTTGAACTCCCGAGAGGACCGGCAGGCATGCGCTGTCATGAGTTTACGTCAGGCTGGAGGTTGAGCTCGGGCTTTATTTATTTATGCGTCGCAGCAAGCGCTCTGCTGAGCGGGTTGCATCCCAGCCCCAGAGTTGTTCTTTCTCGCAGACCTTGGCCCTCCCAGACAGGATAGGGCTGGAATGAGGCGTTTCACTGTCTTGTCTTGTGTCCTCACTTCCACCCGGCACTTTGAGAAATGCCTTTGTCTTTTGTTTGTTGTTGTTGGCTTCTGTGATCTGTGAGCTGCTTTACCCTCCTTTCCAACACCGAAGTGCAAGAAAAACCTGCCTGCCATCAGTCGTTTACCGGGTCCTGGCTCCATGGATCGAGGGTGACTTGAGCTCACAGCCCCAGGACCCTCTTGAAAGCCAGTCACAGCTTACGGCTGTCACCTCTGTACCCGGGGCTCACTGGTCACCCGGTCTAGCCAATCAGTGAGCTCTAGGCTCAGTGAGAGACTCTGCCTCAAAATAAGGCGGAGAGTGCCAGAAAAGAACACTCAGCATCAGTCCCTGAGAGCAGGCTTGCGTGCACACCTGTACAACACACACACACACACACACACACACACACACACACACACACACACACACACAAAACTTAAAAAAATAAAAAGTGAGGTTGGTGGTGCAGACAGGAGCTAGTCAGGTCTGAACTTGAATTCCAGCGCTCCATTATTACTGACTGAGGCGTTTTCTTTGAGAGGTGGACTGTCAGCCCTCACAGAAACCGTAAGCTGATGACATGGTGGAAACTGTAGCCTCCGGCCGGCCGAAAGTGTCAGTCGGGAGGCCCGGCTGACACTAGCATAGCAAGGCCTCGGTGGTCTCTCGGGGAATGGCGCAGGCAGAGGTGACAGTGCACGCGGAGACCCCGGGCTGCGCTCTGCAAACTTGAAAAGCAGCAAATCGGTGTGGCTGAGGAGGCGGGAAATGGGGACCGGAGGAAGCGCCCCCCCCCCTCTGTGCGGTGCGGCGGGGGACCGCACAGTGGGAGGGAGTTGGGTAACAAGGTTGCTTTGTTCTCAGTCAGTGCCGTCCCTCTGTGCCTCAGTTTCCACGCCTGTACATTGAGACTCCCTGCAGTGTCTCCCCATTACAGTCGTTGCAAGGTCTAATGAGATAATAAAGTGGACGCTGTGCTTAGCATGAGACTTGTTTGCACAGAAGGCCTTTGGGAAACTGAGGATTATCTGTGGCGAGGTGTGGGAAGAAGATGAATAGCTCAGATCCAAGCCAGCTGCCCCCCAGCTGTGGGCCAGGCGTCTCATGCTGCCCCCTTGTCCCATCAGGTTACCCAGGTTTCCAAGCCACGACCTACGCCAGCCGGAGTTACACAGGCCTTGCCCCTGGCTACACCTACCAGTTCCCTGGTAAGTCCTGCTGGGTGACCCTCTGCCGCTAGCATGTCCCCAGGTCCCAGGCAGTGTTGACTCCTCAGGGTGGTGGTGTCTGGGGTGCATGGCTGGGGGGTCTGCCTACTGGAGACTTGGAAGGAAGGGCATGTCTGAGGAAGGAAGTCCTCCCCCTCCGTCTTCAACCCCCTCCACAGAAGTTGAGAGTTGGGGCGCCTCGGGTGACACTGCATGGTACAGTTCTCGCCCAGCCATTCATTCTCTGTCTGTCTCCTCCCTTTCTCGAGCCCCTACCCGACTCCAGGATTGCCACTTCTACCAGAGACAGCACTGGACTTGTAGTGGGGGCTTCCCCAAAGGCCAGTGTGAGTCAGGCCTTTACAGATCTACTTAAAGGTGCTGTACTGAGCCCTTACGGGTTACGCAGACTGAGAGCCTACGTGCTGATTCTTTTTTTTTTTTTTTTTGAGACAGGGTTTCTCTCTGTAGTTTTGGTGCCCGTCCTGGATCTCGCTCTCTAGACCAGGCTAGCCTCGAACTCACAGAGATTCACCTGCCTCTGCCTCCTGAGGGCTGGGATTAAAGGTGTGCGCCACCGCTGCCCGGCCATGCTGACTCTTAAAGCTGAAATACTCAGCATAAAGAGAGCATTAGACCTGCCATTTAAACAGAAATTTCAACAAAATTCTGGGCTGGCCTGTTACTGTTACCATTTTCTTTAAAGTCTCAAGTCATTCCCCGGCCTTTATTCATTCATGTAGTGCTGGGAATGGACTTGGGACCTCACACACGCTAGGCCAGTACTCTGGCAGAACCACATCCCTCAATATTGGCCATTTGTCTTTGAAACAGAGCCTCCTGTAGCCTAGGCTGGCCTCAAACTCACCATGCACTCCTCAGTGCCGTGATCACAGGTCAGGCACCCAACCAGCTAAGCTACAACCCCAGTCCCCTGGCATTATTTATCATTCCCCACCGCCCCCCCCAGTACTGGGAATTGAATCCATGGCCTTAAGAGTGTTAGGCAAGTGCTCCACCACTGAGCCACATCCCAGTTCATCTGAGTCTTAGTTACTGGAGGGTCCCTGAGCATTTGTATCCTGTGCCCTTGGGCTGTTTAACTTGGAGTCCTTAGTACGCATGTTGTCCGACCCTCTCAGGAATCCCATTTTATAGACTGAGAAACCAACTGCTACAAAAATCCCCGGGGAAGCGGTGTCGCTAGGTGCTTACCCCACTCAGGGACACTGGCTGTTCTAGAGGACTGAGGTTCAGTTCCCAGCACCCATATGGTGGCTTGCAACTGTCAGTAACTCCAGTTGCAGGGGATCTAAAGTCCTCCTGAGCTCCAAGGGCACCAGGTGTGCACGTGGTATGCATGTGTACGTGTAGGCCGAACACTCATACACACAAAATACATCTTTTTGGTATTTTGAGGCAGGTTCTCTCTGTGTAGCCCTGGCTCTCCTGGAACTCACTCTATAGACCAGGCTGGTCTCAACTCAGAGATCCACCTGCCTCTGCCTCCCGAGTGTTGGGATTAAAGGTGGGCACCACCACTGCACGGCAAAAATAAATAAATAAATCTTAAAACAAAAAAACGGGGCTTGGAGTACCGCTGAGTGGTAGAGTACTCGTCTGGCTTGTGTAAAGACCTGGGTTCGACTGTCAGCAGCAAAAGTCAAGAATCTGGTGCCCGTGTTGCTTTGTCCCCAGGTTTAGGTGGTGCCTCTGGCTTCCTTCCTCCTTCTTTCCTCTTCCTCTCTCGGCTGTGCCACTCCTCTGCCCCTGCCTCACCCACTGAGACTGTGCACTCTCCATTCCGGGTTCTCGAGTCCCATGCATGGCCTGTTCCCCCACCCATGGTCCCCGTGGGTGCATCTCTTCCCCCTCGGCCACGCCGGAGGGCCTCCCTTACTTCTTCCTAAGCTGTTTTACGTTTCATTTTAGAATTCCGTGTAGAGCGGACCCCTCTCCCGAGCGCCCCAGTCCTCCCCGAGCTTACAGGTCAGTGGCTCGGATTTCGTATCTCTCATAGGCCACGTGGGGAGAAAGAGAGAGGGAGAGGGACCGTCCCCGGGGAGAGCTGGCAGGACCCTATCCTCCTGCCCGCCAGCCCCACGGCTGTGGGGACACGGCACACTCACTGTACCTGGGCACTGGCCAGTTGGTTCAGCTTCCTGGCCCTCCAGGGTGGGGCGTGAGGCCAAGCAGAGCAGATGGAGGTAAAGTCACTCATTCATCCATTCGGCAAATATTTATCTAGCGCCTCCCATGCGCCAGGCACCATGGAAGCTCTGGTCCCCAGTGGTGAACAGACCAGGGTCACAGACCTGGAGCACAGTGGGCTCTGGGGACTTGGTACCCGGACCCGGGCATGCCTCTACTGGGTGCCAGCCCATCCTTGAGGGGCTCCAGATGCGGTACTCACGTCTCATTTCTCCCGAGAAGCCAGAACTGCCAGCTTTACTCTCTCATACGAATTTTCAATCTTTATTCTGTCATAGTAACGCTTCCCACCACTCAAGACACTGTGGGCCAAGCGACACGTGTCTGATGGCTCCATCTGACCCCAGGGATGTCCGTGGGCTCCCACTGGGAAAACGAGGTCCAAGTCTGTGGCCGTGAGGGCCCCAACAGACTCAGCTGTGAGGCTGGGGCGAGGCTGAGTGGGGAGTACTGTGCACATGAGGTGGGCCCCAAGGGGTTTCTCTGTCCATCCCGCTTCTCTCCCACCCTACCTGTAGACTCCGCCCCCGACCTGGCTCTGTGTGGGGGACTGCTTCAGATCTTCCTTCCAAGGGATGCCCCAGCGGTCTGTCAGAACAGGAGTGGGAGAAGCAAGACACAGGGTAAAGGACAGGGAGCAGGAAGCAGAGTCCTCGTGGTGGAGGAGATGATGGCCGTTTAAATGAACAGAGAGAGTGCTCTGGCACTTGGAGCAGGGGGGCTTTCCTGTCTGCTCATGTAAGACCTCTGTGTGAGGACCTACTGTGTGCAACATGCGCCACCAGGCCACGGGGGTGGGGGGGGCGGGGAAGGAGCAAGGCCCTGCTGTTACTGAGTGTGCAGGCTGGCAGGGATAACAAATATTTATTATGCCAAGAATAATTCTTTATACTTTGATAAATGCTCAGTGAGGTTAGCTACTTAAGAGGTTGCTTTATGAAGGGTTAGAACCCAGACCTTAGTGCCCAGGGTCTACCCTGTAGGCCTGAGTCAGGAAATGTCAATGCTCATGGTATCTTGGCAGGGGAGGGCATGGGTTCCAGTCTCCATAGCTCTTGGGAGTGTGGTGTCTGAACTTTTCTCTTGGCTTGGAACAAAGCGATTTGGGTATTTCTTTTATGTGTTCAGTACATATTTATTGTGCTGACTCTGGGCCAGGCACTGGGGGACATATAAAAATAAGCAGATAAGGCCCCTGCCTTGCAGGAGCTGGTATGCTAGTAGAGACGGATGGATTAATTAAGTAAATGAAGTTTCTTGGAAAGATAAAGCACAAAGCTGTGCAGAGCACTTAGGGTTTCACGCTGGTGGAAGCGCCAGGAGAAGGCGAGGGGGTGAAGTCTCAGTGAGAAGCTGCCAGCTAGATGACGGTTGGCGGAAAGGGGAATCCAGAGCTCCGGAACCGCAGGCGCTGGGTCTGAAGCCCCTGCACAGTGACTTTGCTCAAGATTTTCAGGGGATGGACTGCTTGCCTCATATGCCCGAAGCCCAGGCGTCGGTCCCCAGCACTGTGTAGAACCAGTTACGATGGCACAACCCAGCGCTTGGGAGTCTGAGACCAACTTGGGCCATGACTCAGAAAGCCAAAAAGAAAATGGAGGAAAAAAAAAGAGCAGAAGTCTCTTTTACCTTTTTAGTGCAGACATTTATTAAGTACCTGTTGTATACAGAACTGAGGAGGGAAACAGACGTAGAGGACAAGGGAGGGGCTCGGATCACTTAGCCTGGTAGTCAGGGAGGCCCTGGGGAGCGTGAGGGGATGCAGAACCCACAGCAGCAAGACATAGCAGAGCTGGGTCGTTACCAGCCTGACCCTGTGGGGAACCCTGCAGCTCACAGTCCTCAGCCTTGAGGTAATGGGCCTGGCTTCTGTGCCCTGGGCCAGTCAGTGACAAGAAGCATCATGTCCCCTGCCAAGGGCCCTGTGGATAAGGTGCTACTGCCTCTGCCACAGCGGATCAGCGGTGTCCTAGAGTCCAGAGTGGAAACTGAGGCTGGGCTGCTCCCTGGGACCCATCAGGTCAGGGCACAGAATGGCTGTCCACAGCGGCTATCTGTGCTTTGACACGGGGGCGGGAGGACACAACGACCCCCCTTCTCCAAGCTGGGGCCAGGTAGGAGGAGCTCTGCCAGGTGGTCGGGTCCCCTCTTCCTCGCGCTCAGTGCCCACACTTTGTCTTCCAGCTATTCCTCTCACCGCTTATGGTCCGATGGCGGCGGCGGCGGCGGCAGCGGCTGTAGTCCGAGGGACAGGTGAGGCCTTCTGGGAAGGGCGCACGCGAGGGGGTGGAGGCGTCCTGGAGGAAGAGGCTCCTGCTCCACCCACTGACAGAGGGGCTCGTTTATTCGCTCACCCACACATGGGCTGAGCTGAGTGCCTGAGCCAGCCCAGGGCGACACTGGCAGCGTCCCCCAGAGCATGCACGCGGTGGGGTGTGGGTGTGCCGAGGAGCGTAACCCTGAAGATCGCTGCTGCTGCTGCTGCTGCGGCGGCTGCGGCTGCGGCTCTGGAGGCAACAGGTCCTAAGGAGTTGCCGGCGGGTGCTTTAGGGGAGGCCGAGGAAGGGCTTATAAAAGGAGGATGGAGGAAGCGGCAAGGATTGTTCTGGCTGAGAGAACAGCCAGTCTGCATGGGTCAAGTACGGGAGCGGGGAGCGGGGGGTGGGGTGGGGGTGGGGAGATGGCTCCAAGCAACAGGGTGACCTCGGCCAGCCGTAGACAACGTGCTGGGCTGCAAGAGAGGAAGACCTGAAGGGGCTCACAGGGAGAGGAGGCTGTCCAGGGGTCAGACAGAACGTGGTGGGGGCTGGGGCGGGGGTCTGCAGGTCCTGGGCAGGGATGGCGTCGTGGCTGTGGTGGGGTGGCCGTGGGCACCCGGGCTATCACCGTCTTCTTTCTGGGTTACCAGGCTCTCACCCCTGGACGATGGCTCCTCCTCCAGGTTCTACTCCCAGCCGCACAGGGGGCTTCCTGGGGACCACGAGCCCCGGCCCCATGGCCGAGCTCTACGGGGCGGCCAACCAGGACTCCGGGGTCAGCAGTTACATCAGCGCCGCCAGCCCCGCCCCCAGCACTGGTTTCGGTCACAGTCTTGGGGTGAGTGGCGAGGCCTCATGGCCTCCACCTCACCCCCTCATCCTGGGAGGTCTCTGAAATTGGGGGAGGGAGAGGCCTTGTCCATCTTCTCGGGCAAAGTGAGACTGAGGGATGATGACAGAGAAGAGAAGGACGAGAGGGTGTCCTGTGATAAGCTTTACTCACTGTCCTCTGGACACTGTCCAGTGGCTCCAGGATGTTGTGTGAATGGAGTACCATCTCCTTTCCGTGTAGTCAGAGTCCAGCTCAGGGTTGCCCTCGTTTTATCCCTGGTTCTATGCAGGTTCCCAGGCCCTGCCTTGTACCGGGGTAACACGTGCCAGCTAGAAGAATCTGTATCTCCCCCTGGGGTTCCCACGGGATGACAGGAGCCCCCAGTTTGTCTGAACTTGGCCCAGGATCCTAGGAATCTAATTCTTTTCTTTTCAGGGTCCCTTGATTGCCACAGCCTTCACCAATGGGTACCACTGAAGCAGGGGAGAGGTGGCAGGAGGTGAGGAATTGGAGGTGGGTGGGGCCGCCGCGGAGTCCGATCATTTGCGATGCTGTTGTGAATGCCAGCTCCATTAACCACTAAATAGCGTGCACAGCCTACTGGGGGAGACAGACCTGGATGCCCTCAGTGGCCAACAAACACAAGAGAGAAGTTGCTTAGCTTGCTACAGCCTGATGTAAATTAATCCAGGCATGGTGGCAGAGGCCTATAATCCCTGCACTTGGGAAGCTGAGGCAGGAGGATTCCTTTACGCTCTAGGTCAGCTAGGGCTACCTAGTGAGACTGTCTCAAAAAGAGAGCTGGAGAGCTGGCCGAGCTGGTCAAGGGCCTGCTGGGCAAACACGAAGACCTGAGTTGAGATCCCACATAAAAGGATGAGCACAGCGGCACATGCCTGGGAGCCCCGTGCACCGAGGGGCGGGTCCCTGAAGCTTGTTAGCCAGCCATTCTAGCCAAATGGAGAAGACGATTGCCACCAGCCACTGGCCTCCACATGCACATGCACATGGGTGCACTTACGTCCTCACATGTATGTGCTACACCCACACCAACAAGTAAATACACCATACAAACACACGGCTACACAAGGAACATATATATAACTTAGCCCAGCACTGGGGAGACAGAGGTCGGTAGGTTATAAGTTCAAAGCCAGCCTGATATGCATGGCAAGACCCTGTCTCAAGAAGCGAAATATTAATTAATTAATAGAACAAATATGTAAATGAAATATAAGTTAATCATGCTTCATTGGACTGACAGAGTTTTTTTGCAATCAATGACACCCAACATTGCTGTCTGTCTAAATTGGCTCCAAGTTCCCAAGGGACAGTCTTACACATTGAGGGTTTTAATTTGTGCTGGGGATTGAACCCAGGGCTTGTGCATTCCTAGCGTGATCTACACTGAGCCACAGCCCCGGCCCTGTCCAGGTTTGGTTTGGTTTTAAATTTATTTTATGTGTCTGCATGTTTTGCCTGCATGTATGTATGCTCACTAGGAATGTATATGGTGCCTGCTGAGGCCAAACAGGGCATCAGGACTTCTGCAGCTGGAGTTCGAGGTGCCTGTGAGCTGCCATGTGGGTTCTGGGAGCCAAATCCAGGTCCTACATAACAAGTGCTCTTAACCAGCCTATCATACACACAGTAAATCTTTTAAAAGGTGTAAAAATAACGGGGTGCGGTAGAGATGGTTCAGTGGTTACGAACACACACTACCCTTGCAGAGAGCCTGAATTCACATCTGGTAGCTCACAACCACCTGTAAGTCCAGTTCCAGGAGTTCAGATTTAGTGCTTTCTTCTCTCCACACGATCCTGCACTCACGTGCACGTATCCACACAAGTGAACATTGTTTTCATTTTTGAGACAGTCGTACCGTGTAGTTGCGGCTGGCCTGGCACTTGCTGTATAGACCAGGCTGACCTCAGATCAGAGATCTGGCTACCTCTGCTTACAGGGCGTGTACCACCATGCCCATCAGTGAACATAGTTATAAACATAATAAGATAAATCTTTAAAAATGTGAGAATAAAGCAAACAAATGAGATACTTCCAAATAGCTTACAAGGTGCTGTTTTCAGTGGGATTCAGATAAGCTTCCCAGGGAACAGGTCATAAACCTAGCCACTCAAGATCTGGGGTAAGCACCCAGCACCAGCCCCGCCATGTAACAGGAAGTGTAAAGTCTGAACAAAATTCCTTTAGGAAGGGCTTAGGAAAGGGGGCATGCCTATCCTGTGGGCCCTAGAGAGAGAGACCAGGTGGGCTACAGCGCCCTCTATCTTGCCGTTACCTTTCAGCGCCCCAGCCTGCAGCTGACTGAGGACCAGAGTGAGCCAGCAAGGGGATGGGGACACCTCAGCCGCAGCAGCCCAGCCCCTCCGCTGCAACTCGGACCGACCGCTACTGCCTGTCCCCAGCCCCTGGGCCCAGCCCCTGCTCTGCTGTCCCCACACATCTGGTTCCCCTACTAACCCCCCCTTTCTGACCTTGCCCCCTCCCCTCACCCACCTCTCCCTGTTCGCTTTTATTTATTTTGGATTAGCCGGTTGCCCCCCCCCCCCGCCCCCACCCCCACCAGATTTCCCCACTGGGGTCTGCCCCGTCCTTCCCTGCTGCCCCGTTTAGAACACCCCCAAGAAGGCTTTTGTATTGTGGCTAGCTAGAGTGGGGACAGAGGGAGGCGGCCACAGGCTGCAGCCCCAACCCTGGTTTTTTTATTCTGGCTTTTCCCTCTTTTGCTCTTTACATTTTTTTTTTTAAAGGAACTGTTTTTAAACTATTTCTAGGTTTGTGAATGTGAAGCCCCAGGCCGCAGGGGGCATGGGGCCAGGTGCCCCCCCCACCAGCTGAGAACAAAGTGTCTATGGGTGTGGTCTCCTGGCCACCTCCCTCCAATCCTGGAGAGGAGGGCAGAGGGCAGGGCGGCGGGGAGGCCAGGCCGAGCCCCTGGAACCATCCCGTCCTGTATCATATGTAAATACTGTGAGGTGAAGTCCTATCCCCACCCACCCCTCTCTAAGGCCCCTTGGGGTGTGGGCATTGCCTGACCCCACAGGGCAAAGTTCTCCCCTTCTCCCCTCCCTGTGCCCTCCTCCTCAGACTTACGTAAGCTTACAGACCTCAGCTCTGGCCACGGCAGGCCCACACTCTCAGGCCTCCTGGGTTCAAGGCCTTGGGCCTACTCTCCCCTAAAACCCAGTGTGGGGGGCAAGGGGCCAGGGAAGAGGAGGGCTGCCTAGAGCCCCTGCTGGGAAGGAATTAGCTCTCCAAAGGTCTCCTGGCCGCTGCTTAGGCGGGACCCTCATGGTTTCTGCTCTGAGCCCTCCACCATGGGTGGGCATCAGGGGCACTTCAGTAAGGAGTAGATGCTAGGGAAAGCAAAGGGCTTCTCAGGGAACCCCCACATTCTCACTGCAGTTTCCCACCAGGATAGTCCCGCAACCAGAGCCCTTGGTAGCCCCTTCCCCTGGAACCCCTTTCAGAGAAAAGAGACAGGGCCAGGGTGTGAACGTGGAGTGAGACCTGGCTGATGCGGCAGGGCTGAGGCCTACCTGCTGTTATCCCCTCTCTGTGTCCTTCCCCACCCAAGTCTGAGGCTGGGGGCTTAAGCTCCCTCCCCCAGCAGAGCCCCCAACCCTCAAAACCCCTTCTGGAGAGTTAATTGTCCGTGTGAGGCGCTCACTCAACCCATTAGCCCTGAGAACTCAAAGCAATAATCTTCGTCACCAAGATGCGCGGCTGTTTTCGGTTTTTTGGGTTTTTTTTGTTTTTGTTTTTGTTTTTGTTAAATATTTCCTAATAAAAGAGAAGCTGCATTTTACTGGTTTTTTATTTTTAATTTTCTACGCATCTGAGCTGAGCCCCAGGAGACTTAGCCCCCCCGCCCCACCCCCGCCCCCGCCCCCGTCCCTGGACCCGCTTACCCCACTGGGCCTAACTGTGGGTTCAGGGACCTGGGATTCCATTTTCTGATTTGTTTGAGGAAAAAAAAATTATTATTTTTTTTTAAAGATGTTACATGGTGTTTTTGAAGCCAGCAAATTCCACCCTCGGTGTCTCTCCACATCTGTAACTTCTTTTTCCAGGTCTTTGTTTTGAATTCCTAATAAATTATTTGAAAACGGTGCTGAGCTTGAGCCTCCGTGTGTGTCCTGTTTTGAGGTGCCCCTCGGGAGGTGCGAGGCGCCACATGACTGCATCCCTCCTCTAGGTCAAACTGACCTAAGATAGATGACCAGTGGGAGGCTGGGGTGTAGCTCAGTGGTAGAATGCTCGTCTAGCATTCACAGGGCCCCAAGTTCAGTCCCCAGTACTATAAGACAGAAGGTAGAGTAAGAGAAGATTATACCTGTTGACTTAAACCTTAGATGGCGCAAGTGTTCTCGTAATGATGACTCAGGAGCTGGCGGATGGCTCGGAGGGGAAAGGCGCTTGCCGCTCAAGCCTGTTGGCCTAACTTTGATCCCTGCGTCCCACACGGTGGGAGAAGGAAGAGACCTGACTCCCAAAACTGTCCTCTGGTCTCAATAACCGCGCTCTTACTCATGTGCGTACGTGGGTGCATGCACACACAAACGATGAACTCGTACCGAAAAAAAAAAGCTTTATGACTCGTAAGTGCCAGGGGTGGTGGTTGTGCCTTTAATCCCAGCAATCAGGAAGCTGCAGCAAAAGAAGCTTAAATTCCAACCTAGCGTGTCTCCAGAGCGGAACCCTGCCTCAAACCAACAGCCAAGAGCCAGGCGTAGTTCGTGACCACAGTTCCAGTACTCGGGAGGCTGAGGCAGAGGATCCCTGCAAATTCTGGTCTACACAGTGAGTTCCAAGCCAGCCAGAGCTACGCAGGGAGGTCCTGTCCCACCTCCCACCCCAAAGGAAGAAATGCCCCAAACGCAAAGACTTCTGGGGGTGGTGAGTGGTAGCAGACAGCTTTTTTTTTTTTTTTTTTTTTTAGATTTATTTATTTGTTATGTACACAGAAGAGGGAGCCAGATCTCATTACAGATGGTTGTGAGCCACCATGTGGGTGCTGGGAATTGAACTCAGGACCTCTGGAAGAGCAGCCGTTGCTCTTAACCTCTGAGCCATCTCTCCAGCCCCAGTAGACAGTTTCGATCCCAGCTCAGGAGACACATAGGTAGAGCTCTGTGAGTTCAAGGCTAAACTGGTCTACATTTAAAGATCTTCAAAACAAACAAACAAACAAAAAAACATTCAGGTTTGTTTTTTGTTTTGAAGTTGTCCACAGTGGTGTAGGGTGGTTGAACTCACATCATCAGGTTTATGTCAAGTGCTTTTACTCCACAGACCAACTCACTTGCCCAAACAAAAACTTTAAAACGTTAAATGACTCAAATGGGACAACGGGTGAAGGTTGCTTGCACAAGGCTGGTGATCTGAGTTGGATCCCTAGGACCCACGTCAAGGTGGAAGGAGAGAGCTGATTCCAGAGCTGTCCTCTGACCTCCGAAAGTTCTCCATGACAACATACACACACACACACACACACATACACACACACACACACACACACACACATTTTTAACTTTTTCACTACTGTTGTCCCGTCCTCTTTTCTTCCTGGGAACGGTCCTGATTTTCCACTCCACCCAACTTCTGTCTCCAGCTTCTTGACCAAGCACAAGGAAGGGAAAAAAGAGGGGGAGCAGGATGGATGAGCTCTGGACCCTTTGCACTGGCCGGGCTGGGGGTGGAGCCTTTGCACTGGCTGGTTGAGGGCAGAGCCTCTGGTAGAGTGCTGTACGAAGACTCTTTTTGTTTTTTCAAGACAGGTTTTCTCTGTGTAACCCTGGCTGTCCTAGAATGCACTCTGTAGACCAGGCTGGCCTTGAACTCAGAGATCCGCCTGCCTCTGCCTCCTGAGGGCTGGAATTAAAGGCATGCACCACCACCACCTGACTTATATGAAGAATCTTAATCAAATTTGTTGAAATAAATGACAGTAATGGGGCTGGTGATAGAATGCAGTGGCAGGAAGCTTACCTAGCATGTGGGGCCTGGGGGTTCACTGCCCGGGTTAACGAAAACAAAAAGAAAACAGCCCTCCAAAATACCATAGGAGTTGCCCATGACTGGGAAGGGGTGAAGTGTTACTCAATGGGTTCACATTTTAGAAGTGCAGGGTGAAAAATTTAACAGTGTTAGTACTCAATACTATTGAACCATCAACCTAAAAACAATGAAGATGCTCCCCCCCCCAATAAAAAGGTCCTTGTGAGGGGACTGGAGAGATGACTTTGTGGTTAAGAGCATTGTTTCTCTTGCAGAGGACCTGGGTTTGGTTCCCAGCAGCCATATGGGGGCTAAAAATATTGCCTGCAAACACTCTCTTCTGGCCTCCATGGACACAGCACAAACGTGGTGTAATGGCCCACACAGATAAAATAGAAACAAACCTTGGTCAGGTGTGCTGAACACTCAGGAGGCAGACAGAGGTAAGTGGATCTCTATGAGTTCGAGGCCTGCCTAATCTACATAGTGAGTTCCAGGACAGCTAGTGCTACATAGTGAGACCCTGTCTCAAAACAAGCAACAACAACAAAAAATTCAAAATAAAAATAATAAAATTATTTTATTACTTGAATAAAAATGGCCCCATAGGGTCATAATTTGAATGCTTAGTTACCAGAGAGTGGCACTATTTGGGAAGAATGAGGAGGTGTGTTGGAGGAAGTGTGTCTCTGAGGGTGGGCTTTGAGGGATCAAAAAGCCCAAGCCAGGCCCAGTGTCTCTCTCTCTTCCTGCTGCCTGTGGATCCAGATGTAGGACTGTCATCTCCTTCTCCAGCACCATGTCTGCCAGCATGCCGCCATGCTCCCACTATGATAATGAACTAAACCTCTGAAACTGTGAGCCAGCCCCAGTCAAATACCTTCCTTTATAAGAGTCGTCATGGTTATGGCATCTCTTCACAGCAATAGAACACTGACCAAGACAAAAATAATAAAGGGCTGGAGGGCTGGCCTGGTGGTTAAGAGTACTGCATGCTCTTACGGAGGACCCAGGTTCAGTTCCCAGCACCCACTTTGAGCAGCTCACAACCTCCTTTCTCTCCAGTTCTAGGGTATCTGACACCCTCTTCGGACCTCCATGGGCTCCAGCATGCCCCTGGTGCACATACAGACAGGCAGGTACACACACAGGCATACAAAGAAAAACTCTAAACTTCCAATAAAAGTGCAAGAGATGGGGCAGGCAAGACTGCTCAGAAGGTAACAGTGTGTGCCACACAAGCCTGATGTGTGACACCGGCAGATGTGGTGCCAAGGGTCTGTAACCTCAGCACTCCTACCTCGAGACGAGCACTGGAGACGGGAATCACAGGGTGGTAGAAACAGTGAGAGACTCTGCCTCAAAGACATAGTGGAAGAAGAGAACCAACTTTCGAAGTTGTCTGTGGGCCTCCATATGTGTGCTGGGGCATGCATGCATTCTCTATCCACCCCCTTCTCTGTCTTTCTTTGTGTGTGTGTGTCTGTTTCTCTCTCTCTCTCTCTCTCTCTCTCTCTCTCTCTCTCTCTCTCTCTCTCTCTCTCTCTGTCTCTCTCTCTCTCTTTTCTCCATCTCTCTCTCCTCTGTCTCTGTTTCTCTGTGTGTCTCTCTCTGTCTCTTTGTTTTTTCTCTCTGTCTCTCTCTGTGTCCCTGTCTCTGTCTCTCTCTCTGTCTTTGTCTGTCTGTCTCTCTTTCTCTTTCTCTCTCTCTCTCTCTCTCTCTCTCTCACACACACACACACACACACACACACACACACACACACACACACACACCCCCCGACCGATAATAGATTAAAATAAAATGAAATGACTGGAGATGTCGCTCAGCCGGAAGAGTGCTTGTCTAGCGTGCATCCCATAACTGGGTGTGGTGGTGAAAGTCTATTAATCTAGAACTTGAGAGGTGGAAACAGATGATCAGAAGTTAAAGGTCATCCTTAGCTACATGTCAAGTTTAAGGCCACCCTGAGATATGTGAGACTCTGTCTTTAAAAAAAAAGTTCAATGTAGAAAAAAATGAAGGAGGAGGAGGAGGAAGAAGAAGAAAGATTGGGAAATGTTGGCAGGAACTGGAGCTGAGCTTTGTTATGTGAGTTTATTTTGCTGTCTTCTCTACTTCTGCCTATATATTTTCACTAAAAGTTCCCTAATATACAACAGAAATTAAAGAGAGAGAGAGACAGCATATAGAAGTGTTCTGTTTTGTTTTGGAGATGGGGGTCTCCATCTGCCGCTGGGCTTTAACTTGTAGGCTTACTCGGTCCTCAGCTTCCTGTGTAGCTGGGACCACAGGGGTGTGTGCCGCCACCACCACCACTCTTTGCACACACATCCTCTCACACATATGTGTGTGCGGGTATGATTTTTTTTGTATGACTGTGTTTACTCTGTGTGTGTATATATACATGTTCTCCTGTGAGTGGGCACATACATGTCTGCAGTTGCTCATGAAAGCCTGAGGTTGATAGACAGTCTTCCCCCATCTCTCTCCACTTCATTCACTCAGGTTGCTGTGTGTGTGTGTGTGTGTGTGTGTGTGTGTGTGTGTGTGTGTGTGTGTGTGTTTTGTTGGGGGGGGGGGTCCCCTTTCTCCACCACCCTGTGAAATGGGATTACAAGGGAGCTGTCCTGCCCACCAGCATTGAATGAGTTCTGGGGATTTGAACTCTGATCCTCCTACTTGCCTGCGAACACTTTATCCTGAGTCATCTCCCCAGCCCTCTCCTCCCTTTTAACTATTTTCTTTTTTTTTTTTGGTTTTTCGAGACAGGGTTTCTCTGTGGAGCTTTGAGCCTTTCCTGGAACTCACTTGGTAGCCCAGGCTGGCCTCGAACTCACAGAGATCTGCCTGCCTCTGCCTCCCGAGTGCTGGGATTAAAGGCATGCGCCACCACCACCCGGCTTAACTATTTTCTTATTTTTATATTTTATGCATAGGTATTTTGCCTGTGTGTGTGCGTATGTATGTATGTGTGCCACGTGCATGCCTGGTGCCTGCAGAGGCCAGAAGAGGCCATGTGGGCATTGGGAATCGAACCTAAGTCCTTTGGAAGGACAGACAGTGCTTTTCACTTGGGTGCCTTCTCTCCAGCCCCTGCTCACCCACCTTGT